GCCATATCACCCAGCTCTACTCTCCATCCAGCATCCAGCAAAGAGGTTTTTCTGGAAGAGTGGAAGAAGATTGATGTTGTAAAATGTCGCCAACTTGTTCATTCCATGCCTCGAAGACTTGGTGCCGTCCTTGAAAATCAAAGTGGTCATACAAAATACTAGATGTGGTAGTTTTTGTTGTGGGTTGTATTTAGTCAATTTTGCTTCAACCAATTTTAGTAAAACTGAAAATTTTGTGATCTAACTCATATTATTAACATTAATTTCACATTATGGAGTTAAACAAGTGCTCAATCAAACCCAGCCTTGTTAAATTCTGTAAATTGTTCTTTTGTTCACTGAGCTGCTGATTAAATTCAAACTTTTTAAAGGGGACCTGAACTCATTTATGCTGAGCACTGTACTTCAAACAGATGTAACTAGGGCTCCGCCCATTTAATGACTTGTGCAGAATTAGTAGAGCTTTGACATCGATTCTATACTGAAATGGAAGCCAATGCAAAGTCCTGGGAATTGGTGTTCTATATGATCCCTTTATTAGTTTATCAGCCTATGAATACGCAGAAAGTGGAATGTTAAATAAACTCTATTTCTCTAAGCAGAGGCCGTTTTTGACACTGCGCAAAGACCAATAGTTTGGACGCCTTACAGACGTTGTCTGGACCGACAGACTCGATATAGATGTGATCTGCACATCCATGCGACGTTGACTGTTTGCAGGGCTCTTTAAGGCTGTTCAGATTACCTTTTACTGCTTTAACAACGTGCTGTCACAGGTGCACAAAACTGGAAACTAAAATGTTTTACATTTAAAGTTCATTTTAGAGACACAACATTTCTATGTCATGGTAAAACCATATTTTCACCATGGGACTTTTCCTCTCCACTGTCACTAAATGCTTGCTGTGCAAAGATCTAGTTTGGACGTTCAACAGATGTGATCTGGACCGACAGACCTAATGTAGATGTGAGCTGCACGTCCATGCGACGTTGACTGTTTGCAGGGACAGTACGAGGATTGCTTTAAAGACTCTGACACTCGTCAGTGACTCTATGCAACCTGCTGGGTTCCTTATATAGAAAACTTTTTACCGATTGGCTTAATGAACTAACCTGTTTTGGAATGTTTACTGTGTGAAGGTCCATGAGATGACACTTGTTGTGATTTGGCGCTATGTAAATAAACTTGAATTGAACTTGAACATTTTTTCATAACTTCTCAAAAAGTAAAAACTGAATAAAAGTCATAAAATTTGATTAAATGAATTTCTCTCCATCATCGTTGCTAAAGTCAAATTCCTGTTTTATTAAATAAATAGAATCTTCAAAAGTTTATTACTACTAATAATAAACACATGAACTGTAATAACGTAGTCAGATTTTGTCCTTCCTGGGTTTAAAGGCGCTCCTCTGAGGCTTCACGTAACCTAAAATATCTTAATGTAACAGAGAGGAAAAGGTCAAAGGTTAAGCTAAAGAATGTGTGTGTTACCATAGAAGGAGCCTGAGAATGGATTCTTTCATGCAGCAGGATGAAGGAGAAACGTGTCGGCTGTCAGCGTTTTTGGTCCACGTGAATCCTGATCCAGATTAGCTGTGCAGACGAGGGTTTGAGCTGCTCTCCTTCCTCTTTCCTCACACACACGTTTGTTCTGCTAATGATGAGGAAGAGGAGGAGAGGAAGGGAGAGAACGAGCAGGAAGAAAGACACATGCCTCGCCATTTCCGCTTTCTTCTGAGGACGTAGGAAGGATAAGGTGACGGTTCCTGATACCTGACCAAATGTTGGATCATCAATCCTTTATTCTGCTCCAGTAAACTTAAAAAAATACCTCTGTTAGCTTCTCCTGTTTTTGGTGGGATTTAGATTTTTCATGAAGAAGTCAGAATTTGTGACTAGACCCTTTGTCTTGGTCCAAGTCTGAGCTGTTACAGTAAAAATGACAAGTATGCAGAGGATATCAAAGGGTTTATTACAGAGTTATTGGCCTAGGTGGGCGGTCTGAGTGGCTCTGCTTCACTCGGTTTGAACAAAAGAGCTTTTAGACAAAAACGTTAATCAGGCATAACGTTTAAAGTTCCTACAGCAGGAACACGGGTTGAATCAAATCAGCCTTGGTGGTGTTTTATTTTTGCTGCAATCTGAATCTTTATAATCTGGATTAATGATGGACCAGGTAGTTCTCTTAGAGGGAGATACAAGTTGGATGCGATCCAGAGGAATTCTGACACAGCTTTACTCTGCTGCCAACATTTTTCTCTAATATGCTTTAAACCAAAGATGGAACTCCAAACACAAAAAACTGCAGTAAGATGGTCCTTTACAGCAGAAGAGGGGAATCCTGGTCCTCGAGGACCGCTATGTACAGCACGTTTTCCTGCTCCATTCAGTGGTTTAATCATGTTTAGCAGCTCTTGAAGTTGTGCAGAAGCCTGTTCATCACCCAAATCCGAGACCATGGCCCTGAGTCGGAAAAGGGTAGAAAGCCTTCTCCAGGTCAGGGATGAGGTACTGCTCCAGGTGGAGGAGTTTAAGTATCTCGGGGTCTTGTTCAAGAGTTGGTGAAAGATGGAGCGTGAGATTGACAGGTGGATTGGTGCTGTGTCTGCAGTGATGCGGGCATTGTACCTGGCATGGTGAAGAGAAAGCTGAGCCGGAAGGCAAAGCTCTCGATTTGCCAGTCGATCTACGTTACTACCCTCACCTATGGTCACGAGCTATGGGTAGTGACCGAAAGAACGAGATTGCGGATACAAGAAATGAGTTTTCTCTGCAGGGTGGCTGAGCTCTCCCTTAGAGATAGGGTGAGAAGCTCAGCCATCTGGGAGGGGTTTGGAGTAGAACTGCTGCTCCTCCACATCAGGAGAAGTCAGTTGAGGTGGCTCGTGCATCTGATTGGCATACCTCTTTGACGCCTCCCTGGTTAGGTTTTCTGAGCACGTCCAACTGGAAGGAGGCCTAAAGGAAGACGCAGGACACGTTGGAGGGACTATGCCTCTCACCTGGCCAAGGAACACCTTAGGATTCCCCCAGAGGAGCTGGTCCAAGTGGCTGTGGAGAGGGAAGTCTGGGCCTCCCTGCTTAGGCTGCTGCCCCCATGACCCAACTCTGGAGAAGTAGAGGATGATGGACATATATTTCTAATTTGTGAATCACCTCTGGCATAATTATCTTACAGAAACAGAGATGACCTTGTGAGTAAACCTCATAAAAACTGACTGTAAAGCTGTAATATTTATGAAGTAAAAAAATCAGACACATTCATCCACTTGTTTACAATCAGAGCTTCATATAAATGACTGAATGTCTTTCTTTTGCAGCTTGGGTTTAGCAGGTTGTGTGACATTTCTAGCATTAATTTCTGTCTTTATTTATTAAACTTCTGATGAAAACCAAAGAAAAATGGAATTCCATTGACATTGGTGCTGAGCCTAAAAATGGAAAAAAAAGGAACAAAGGGAAAAAAATGTGACACAAAGAAATATGATTTATTTTTAGGAGACCATGTTGTTGCTTAAGCTGAATTATTAGCGACATCTGAGAAAGGTTTAGTCCTGATGATGAATCATCAGCAGTTTACAGTCCAGCTTCTGTCTCTCGACTGAATATTAGGAAGAAATCTGGGTCTCAGTGGATCAAAGAAGCAGAGTTTAAACAGCAGTTTTCTTTCTCCAGACGCTGCCCTCGGCTGGAGAGTTGATCCTCTAGAAACAACATCCTCTGACTCGGCAGTCACCTCCTTTATCTTTCCTCCTGTTTTTCCTATGAGGCATTCACAGTTGGCTGCTTGACTTTCCTGACAAAGACACACTTATTACATATAAAGTCAAGTCTGAAGGCCAGAGAATCGGTCATTGTGCTCACTCAGGATCTAAGGCACAAAAAGGTGACCCAACAGGACAACCGTGGTGAAATTTAAGCACCCACCGACAGAACACTGGCACCACTGATCCCTCCGACCAACACCAGCAGGAAAGGTGGGTTACGTGTCTTGCCCAAGGACACAACAGTATTTATGATTGCTTTCAGTCAACTGGGTTAAATGTCTGTTTACATTTTAAAAGTTTGTTTGGTTGCATTGTTGCAGAGCTAAGTTTCCTGCTTCTCCCTCCTACTATTGTTAGCACCAACAATGAGCCAATGCTAATACGACTCAACTGATACAAAATAGGCTAATAAGTAAAAAGATCTGCACGGTTAGACAAAAAATTTACTTACAAGTCTAGTAGCAACAAAGCCAGGTCACCATCAGTCCGTGATTTAGTAGCCTCCTTTAGCTCCCTCAGTCTTGCGTAGGTTACGCTGATGTTCACTCTGATTTTAGCTCTTTGCTTTGTTTCCAAAGCCATTACTCACTTACTTTTACTTCCAGGCTCCGCCATGATGCCAACAGAACTAGCAACCTTATTTTTCTTTTTCTTGTGTTTAATTGACTGTTGGCGAACTGAAAAAGCTAACTGCTAGCCTTTATGTAAGCTAGTAACACAGCAAACAGCTAACAGGCGGGACATATGAATAGAGCTCCCCCAGAGCAAAGCAAGTGCATCTTCTGGTCAGCAGAGGGCTGCAGAGGGCTGTCCAGTGTAAAATGGGTCTAGTTTATGCTTCAGGAATCACTGAAACCAGTTTGAAAGCAATGGCCTAGATGGGGTATTCAATTCTAGTCCCAGAGGGCCGGTATCCAGCACCTTTAAATGGTTTCTCTGCTCCAACACACTTGATTCAGTGGTTGAATCACCTGTGCAGCAGCTCATCAGGCTTTGCAGAAGCCTGTTAATCACCTGCTGATTGAAATCAGGTGTGCTGAAACTGAGTTAAAACTAAAACGTGCTGGATAGCGGCCCTCCAGGCCCAGAATGGAATACCCCTGGCCTACAGCGTTAAAACTCTTTAGTGTAAGTGAGGCCTGTGGACTCCTGGCTTTTTGTTTTCTCTGATAGTCAAGGTGAACTTGCTGAACCAGGAATGATGGGAAATAATCTTTGCAGAGTTCTTGACCTTAAATTTGATAAAAGGTTTAATTCAGAATCTTAAATTGTAAAAGTGCCCCTTTGTCACAAGTTGGATTTGAAAAATTGGCATTTTTAGAGGTTGACAAAATATATGCTGCAACAAATACAATAATCATGGAGACCTTTTCAGGAGGAGGTATTATTTACAGTTTGGGGATTTTGCTCATGTTAGCTGTGACTGTCATGAAGTCTGTCATCAAAACCAGATTTAATAATAACCCGCACAATCCTTTAATGTCAGTAATCAATTTCTCTCTGGGATTAAAAAAGTATTTTTGAATTGAATTCAGCTGAATTGAATTAATAATCAAAGTGATCTGAGGACAGATGGGTTAACTCTGAGTGAAGAGGTGAAAATTAGCTCTGGTAAACTCCTGGTGGATCGTCTCTAACAGGACGTCCTCATCGTCCCCCTGACCTGCATCCGTTCCTCTCCCCCTGCCTCCTGCTGCTCCTCGGCCAGGTGGAGGCAGGTGGAGCTCGGGGGTGTAGGTGAAACTGTAGGATGTACGGTAAATGAGTCCGTCCGTTCTGATGAGAGACAGAGGAATGGTGATGACGCGCCGCAGGCAGCGCCAGCTATCGCTGAAAACAGACACATCAGGAATGACGCAGAGCAGCGATTTAGATGACCTGAAGAGAGAAAAAACAGATTTAATTCGCTTATGCGATGGGGCTCAGACCTAAACACAGCAGACTGTCTGTGAATGTTCATTTATTTACAAACGAAACCGGCTCAGTGGCCTAATGGTATGAGTGTCCGCCCTCATGAGGTCGAGGTTTCAAATGCACAGTCGGGTCATACCTTTAAAATGGCACCCAGTACCTCCCTGCTTGACACTCAGCATTAAGGGGTTGGATTGGGGGTTAAACCACCATGTCTGCAGCTCACCAAACAAATTTCACACACTAGTGTGGCAACTAACGGGATTTTATCTCTAAACAGAAAAATTTGTCAAATCGACTTTTTTCTCTATTTTTACAACCCTCCAACTGTCTTTATGGGTGACCCCGCGAGGAAGGTTGACCATTCAGCAGGATTGATGGTTTATCCCTTGGGTCCATGCAGGGTGAGGAGTGAGCACCACCTCACCCCTGCCACGTGGACCTCAAGGGATAAACCATCAATCCTGCTGAATGGTCAACTTTCCTCGCGGGGTCACCCATAAGGACGACAGTGGGAGGGTTAAATTTAGTCGTGCTTTAGATTTAAAAGATGGTTATAAAAGATCTAAAGAATAACACCCAAACTGACAGTGAAATGTTCATTTTCTGAGATGACCCCTCAGACTCGTGGTTCTGAAGGATCGTGTTCCTCACTGGCTGCAGCTTCTTCTACAGACACCACTTTGTGGATGGGTCCGTTATTAAGACAAGGCTTTCTCACATGCTCCTGAGCTGCTGGGAGGAACATTTACAGAAACACATGGTGAGCTGTTCCCTGCCAGAGACGCTAAGATGTGATGTCTCAGCACTTAAGCTGTGGGATCTGAGGTGAGTTCCTACATCAGAGAGGCTGCTTTGATCCAAAACACATCATATGACATTCTATGAGCTATGGCTGTCAGGTTTCTGCAGAGCCTTCCTGGGACTCCCACACAGGAGTACTGCGGCCCAGGAGCCGAGCTGGTTTAAGGATGGTGACTAAAGACCTTCTGAGCATCTCTGGTCCCTCGGATCAGATGACTATTGTGTGATTAACGTCATGAAAACTTCTAGACAAAGTTGTCCCAGAAAACTTGGTCCTTGTTCATCAGTAAAGTCTGATTTTCTCTTAAACACAAAAACATAAACACAAGTCCGTGTCCAGTTTTAACTGAGCAGCATATTTTAAGCTGATTTATGTGGACAGCACATTCCACCTGAAAATAAGATGTTTCTTCCTGTTGTGTTCTATTGAAATTCCTCAACTAACTGTAAAATAACAGCTTTTAAGGATAATTTTTGTCAGTCATCATGTTTTATGGCATTAGACTAGTTTTATGGTCTGTTCAGCTCAACAGAACCCGTCTCCTCCTGTAAAAAGCATCATTTATGTAGAGTTGTAAAGAATGATGTTAGAAAGACATCCTGTCGTTAAATTTCGATACGGCAGCCTTTTTTTCTAAACAAAGATATGAGTTGATAAGTAGTTACATATGTTGTCATATATGATGCTAGCACTCTTGGGTGTTTTACAGTAGGGAGCACTTACTACGCTTACTACGGTAATATTTCTCCAAACTTACAGGAAGTCTTGTTGTTTACTGTCTTGCTGTTGGCTTGCTGTTATAGTTCCAATTAAAGGAAGTAAAATGCTTCAAATGATAAATGTCCTGTATTTGATATTGCACCTTCTAGAGTCCTGGAACCCCCCAAGGTGCTTTACAACACAATCAGCCATTCACACACACACATTCACACCCTGGTGGTGATGAACTACAATGTAGCCACAGCTGGAGCACATTGACAGAGGCGAGGCTGCCGTACACAGACGCCACTGGTACCTCCGACCACCACCAGCAGACAAAGTGGGTGAAGTGTCTTGCCCAAGGACACAACAACAGCGACAGACTGAGCGGGGCTTGAACCTGCAACCTTACGATTACGGGGTGAGCACTTAACTCCTGTGCCACCATCGCCCCCAAATGACTCATTATTCTTGTTGGTCATTAACAAAGTGGCTTGAGATATTTTTAAAGCCAACTTTTCACTTCTTATCTGCCGTTAGCATTGTTAGCTCAATGTTAGCCTCTAGCCTGTTTTACCCAATATTAGAGTAAAACAAAAAGATGCCATTGCTTCTTAGGTGTACAAGAAACAACTTCTGTGTCAGACCCGCTAACTGGCTTCAGTTCTTCAAACATCTCTGGAGATTTTTGCCTGCTGGTGTGAAATTACAAATGCACATTAGCTTGGCGCAGATTCGGGAACCTTGTGGGCTCAGATTGTAAACAAAGAGCACGTCACTCTTTAGTTTTTTTTAACTGAGAAAAACTGACAACCCCCCAGCCGGATGAGAAGTAAATCTGCTTCAGTGTAACCTTCCTTCTGTTTGGTGATTATTTCAGAGAACAATTCTTACATGTTGCTCCCTTAACTCACTTGAACATCGTCTCAGCTTCGCTGTTGCCAAATAGGATTTTGAGGTGAGGACTGAAGTTTTCTCCATGGATCTCCAACATGGCGACATGTCCTCCACCGTTCACCTACAAAAACACACAGACCAGTCTTGGGAAGTTTCTGACATTTCCCACTGTTTTTAACTTTAGCACACCAACAACATGTTATACATATATATATATATATATATATATATATATATATATATATATATATATATATATATATATATATATATATATATATATATATATTTGTGTGTGTGTGTGTGTGTGTGTGTGTACTTCTGAAAAAGGCGGTACTTTAAACCTCACCTCTAACCCAAAGATGACCGGAAAAGGGCTGACTGGAGACTGAATGAGGGCCAAACCCTGATTAAAGGTGAATTCCACCACTTCCACACCAATGATGGTCCAACAGGATCCGTCATTCAGCACCACCCTGCTGGAGTCCCTGGCGCTGGATGGAGCCTCGCAGGATGGGAAAGATGGAGAAAAGAGGAATGATGAAGACGTAATTATTACTATTAACAGCCAGTAAAAAATACATAAACATAAAGATGCTGAGAGCTTACTTGGTACTGGATGATGGTGTCATTTGAAAGACACAGATACACATCGGGATCGTCTCGGAACTGGAAAGCACATTTATGGAGCTGAGAAACCGGTTCATCCACGTCTAAGATGGCGTGCTGCTTGTTGACTTTTCGAATCACCTGAAATCAACAAAATCTGAGGAATATTTTCAAAACTTCAAACATGGTTTTCATTTCCTACCAAAATGATCTCATTGCCTGAGAAATGAAGACATTGCTTTGGAAGAGATGGTGCTAGATATTGTGTGAGGAACATTTCACCCAGGTTTTTTTCTGCATCTCTCATTAATGATGAACTTTAAAGGCTCAGCTCAAACTGATTTTCATATTAATGGAAGGTTTAAAATCACGACAGACCCAACATGTGACGATAAAAAATGATAGAGTTAACAGTTTTGGTCCTACAGTGTGTGAACACACTGTAAACACTACACACTACATAAGAACTGATTTCACACATGAGCATTCCCAGATCAACCAGGACTTCGGAGTAAACACACCTAATTTGCCAGATTAAGGAACAGAGCGGTCCTGACGGCCTTCCAAGCAGACCAGAGAGCACTTAACACACCACACACTGCAAGAATCTCTGATGAAGTTATTTTTAGAGTCGTTACAGAAATCAGGCAGAATGAGAGGATTGTGAACCGGGCCTTCGCTATCTCCAGGAAGTGATGCAGCTGATCATGGTGCTCCTAGTGCCCCAGTAAACCGCAGTGAGAACGCTACGAGCATCTCGTGCTTCATTCTTCTGACAGATTACATCATCTGCTGAGCTTTCACGGCCAGGTGTTGAACATACAGGTGATGTACTCTCATCAGCCACTTCATCACGCGACAGAAGTCTGCCTCTGCAGTGTGATGTTATCATTCAGATGCAGACGGGAATATCTGAGGAATGTTTCCAAAAGAAGGTGACTCTTTGGCAATTGAAACACAGAATTGTATAAAATATGAAGATTGAATCCAGCATCAGCAGGGATCTATTTATACACACTCTGGTGGAAACATCTCAACTACAGATACGTTTGAGGAAGGTCTTTGGATTCCAGGTGAAACTGAGATCCTTCACCATAAAGCTCCACGTTCACCAGGCTGCCAGAAGGCAGGCAGCTCAGTGTTCAAACCAGGTGGTCTTCCAGCTCAGTAAACCACCTCTCCAGGTCCTCAATCTCAAACCTGACTATTAACACTCCAGGATTAAAACACCCCTGCCTCTGCGGCACACAGGAAATTAAACATGTTGTTTTTATATTTAAGTCTGCTGATGAAGCAGAACGTTTTGTTCTGTACATCCAGCTCCCCTTTTCGAGTCTCCAAACTCAGACCACGAGAGAAATCAGAGCCAGAGCCTGTGTCACGCGAACACTTCAGGAGGAAAGATTTCTCTGTCATTAAACAAACAGTGCAGCCTTCGGCCCAACTACAATAATATATAGAGGTGTAGCGAGAGGTTAAATCTGACCATCTAATGAGCAGACCCACAGCTGAGGGGTTATATGAGCAGCGTAGGAGGTAAAGAGAAAAGTTCAGCTCAGCAGAACAACAAGAACTCAGCTCAGGTGTTTGTTTAAGTGGAAGATTAGCAGGTCACATGACACCTGTTTGAAGTAGAAAATACGTCCTAACTGTGGACCAACGGCTCATTTTCACTCAGTTATGCTTTTCAGAAACTCAAATCTGTGTTTGACTTTGTTGGTAAATTAGAACAAAATCTCTAAAGTTCAGTGACACTTTTTTGCTAGATTGCAACAATCCCTTGTGTTTTTATTTGCTGTGAGTGCTTTTTACTTATTTCTGTTTTGATCCTGCAGAAACAGGATGAAAATGCAAAGAATGTGACAGAAAGCTACACAGCAGCGTACGGCTGAAACAGCATCACGTACACGTGCACATCGCAGACTCTGCTCTGAAACTCTCTACATGAGCAGCCAAAAGTAGAGAAATAAAGTAAATGTCTCAGAGTTTCTTGTGTGTGTGTGTGTGTGTGTGTGTGTGTGTGTGTGTGTGTGTGTGTGTGTGTGTGCGTGTGCGTGTGCGCGTGTGTGCGTGTGTGTGTGTGTGTGTGTGTGTGTATGTGTGTGTGTGTGCGAGTGTGTGTGTGTTACCATGGGTGGCAGAGCTACTCCTGACTCAGTACAAATTAACTGGACCACAGAACCGTAGCAGATGAAGGCTTCACTCAGCACAAAGCCGCCCTGGTTGGCGCGGTGGTCGTCCACTACAAACACACACAGACAGGTCGACATTAATACACAGATAATTTTTTTGGTTTATGTAAGGCTCTAATAGTTTCATGTTTTCACCTAAAGTAAATAAATCTTCTCTTCCTAAAATAATTTGACCTCTGATATTTAACGTTTGCAACGGCAGGCAGAAGGTGAGCGTGTGAGGACAGAGGGCTGATGGATGATTGGGTAAAGTTGAGGTTTTGTTGGTGGGAGGTCCGTACACACTGAGCACTGTGAGACATAAATGACCTCACAGACCTTTGCACGGGTTCATCCAGACGTGTGAAGGAAAAGTATCTGTGAATTACTGCTCACACAGGGACGGCATTAATGCAGGGTGGCCGGGGCTGAGAGGGGCCATCTAATAGCTGGAAGCCCGATTCTTTAAGGGTCAGAGATAATCTCTGGTCTTTGATACAGCTAGTTTAAAGGTAAATCAGCCAAACTGATGTTTATGTAAATGTAAAATAGAATTTTACAGCTGAAGGCGGTCCAACGGAATAGTAGAGTGTGACTTTTCTTTGGTGACTGATTTTTGGGCCGGTGGTGTAGCTCAAATTGCAGAATTCCCATTACAGCTTTGAACTTCTCAAACACAAAATGTTTTCTACAAAAGCATAGTGCACCATATAATGAGCTTACAAACAAAGTGTGCTTGTTTTGAACAAACAGCATTCATATGAAAATAATTATTTTGCCTTTTGCCTAATAAATGTTCAGTTGAAACATAATCTGACTTGAGTGACCTTTGCTGAATACAAGGCTCCTGTCTGTGGATGAATAAAAATCTGTTAAGTTACTGTCCAGTGAACAAACACGCTGTCACACACACACACACACACACACACACACACACACACACACACACACACACACACACACACACACACACACACACACACACACACACACACACACACACACACACACACACACACACACACACACACATTTACCCATGATTATGGTGAAGGCTGTCCAATGTCTGGCGCTGGCTATGAAAGCTCCTCTGTCCACAGAAAGGTAACGCGTGCTGACCGTCTGGGAGCGTAAACGGTTGAACAAAGCCACTCTGGAGCAGGATGATATACACACTGGAAATGCATGAAGACACACTGTAAATAACACACTACTTATTCAGACACGGGGACTTTTCTATGTGGGAGTGTGCGTCATTTAAAATCTGAGAGACCTTCATGAGCAGGATGGATGTTTTTCATCAGCCACCAGGAATAAAGACTGGTTTAGGTCTAAGAGGATCTGCATGGTTTAGAGTTTTATTGCAGGAGCTGCACAGTGGAGTCGTTGGTAGCTCTGGTGGACAGGAGACCTGTCCAGGATCTGAGTTAGGCACCAACTCCCCCTGACCCCTCTGAGGAGAAGATGCTCAGATAATCAGTGTTTATGAATCTTAGGTATCCGAATAAAAGAAGCCTTCCTGCTCATAACTACAGTAGTGGCTTAATTTCATCCCTCGGTTTATTGGCTCAGCCTGTGAACCATAAACTGACCTTAAATGCTAACTTGATCATGAACCCAGGAACCTTTCCCTTTGAAGGACGTTTAAAGCTCAGAGCCTTTTATTCCAGAGTCTTAACTGAGAGCAGCTCATGATGGAGTTTTGGGATTTCTCTGATCTTAAAAATAACATTATTCACAATCTCAGGTAAAAGTATAAGGTCCCGTCAGGGTGTTGATGTTAGTGACTCAGTTACATTTGGGGTTTGAAGGTCAACTTCACAGAAAAAAAAGATCCTTTCTTATTCTAACGAGTCACTCTGAGTGTTTCATGCAGGCTGAACATGAAAATAGTCTCCTACACCTATCTCCTGCATTAGCTTCTGATAGAAAACAGACGGTGAAACTCTAGGATTAGAAACGCCTGACAGATCTACGCCACACTGTCACTTAACATTCATGAGCTCACCCATCTTGACTCACAACGAGGAAGGCTGTTGTTGGTTAAGCGTCCAGGAAACAGCAGAGAACGTCTCGGCTAGTAGAAGCTAACCGTTAGCATTAGCAACTTCACCACACTGCATAACTCCTCCACACTTGTGTTATTTGTGGAGATAAAGCATCAATGTTTCAGAACAACCAGAGTTAGTGGTAGAGTTGTGTTGCTGTTAGCCAATCAGAGGTGAGATGTCCAAATATCAGGAAATAAAACTCCAAATCCTGCCGTTCCAGCTCAGCTCTCATCTGACTCACTTCTAGTCCCTCAAACAGGCGCACTAGAGCTTTCCCCCCCAGAGTATGACCAACAAGGCATTCGTTCCTACTAGACACCGCTGCATATGAGTAAAGTTGATCTTTAAGGACAACCTGGTGCCACTGACTGGATATGTTGTGTAAAATATAAAGTTATTCGAAACTTCATTTAATGAAAAGAAATTTTCGACTCACAGTCAGCGTTCTTCATCGACTGTCTCTTCTGGGAGGGTTTGGAGATGACTTTGATCATCCGGCTCTGGAAGGAACCCACATCCTGTCTGTTACCCAGAAAAAGTCTCAGCAGCAGGCAGAAGTGCTTCCTCTTGTCCTGATCGGAGATGAAGAGGGACTTGGCACAAGCAAACAGCTTCTGCAGGGACAAAGAGACAACATGGTGCTGAATTCCATGTTTATAATTTAATCAGTGTGTGGGACAATTTAGTCTCACCCTTGAGTTTGGTTGTTCATCAAAGATCAGCTTGAATGCATCTGCCTGAGACTGACTGACACTGTCCAAACACATGTAGCCACACATCCTGTACACAGCATCTCCATAACCAGCAGCTGGAGAAGAAGGAGATATTTATACGACAAGGGAGAGAAATATGTAAAAATAACTATAATAATAATAATAATAATAATAATAATAAGTCAATAAACTGTATATAGAATCTTAATGAAACCCATTTGTGTCACTTTACCTTTTAAATGATCCTGCATGACTTTCCATCCATGACCGCTGATATAAACACATGGAGGAGGACAGAAGAACCTACGGATGGTTCAACAGCAGAAGGAAAAATGAGCTCCCCTGAATCACCACTATGTTTGACTTTTCATATCGTCACTCAAGTAAACATCACTTTATATTAAGTGCAGATAATTATCTAATGAGTTATTGGAATTAATTACACTGAATGCAGATTTATGAGGTTAAACATGACTTATTTGATCACAAATTTAACAGTAATTTTATGTATTTTTTTGCAGTATCACTTATTAATGAATACTTTATGGGGAAATTAAACAACTTAAATATAGTTTTGGAGTTTTATTAAAAATGTTATCAGATCACGTAAACCTATTTAGAAAAAGAAAATAATTTCTGTACATATTTTTGCAGTTTCTAAAAATCTCACCTTTTGCATCTATTTGTGCTGCCATGTGGGTCTCTACTGCCTCTTTAAACACTCCAATCATGAAAAAAAAAACACCTTCCACATGTTTTCTGTCTGGTTTTAGGATTTATGTGCCTAAAACAAGCTGTTACAAAAGCCCCCGTTTGTGATGTCACAAATGGGGGCTTTCGAATAGAACCACCTCTAAAGTTTCAGAGACAGCTGATACAGAGGCTTTACTCTGTGCCCCTCCTGGATATCTGAGCTTCTCAGCTTACAGCAGCCTGTGTGAGGGTGGGTGGGGCCAGCTCTAGCTTGTTTTCATAAAGCAGTGGTACTCACTTCTGGTTCTACTCCAACACACCTAATTCAGTGGTTTATTCGCCCGTTCAGCAGCTCACCAAGCTCCGAGAAGCCTGTTAATCACCTGCCGATTGAAATCAGGCATGTTGAAGCAGAGTTCTAACAGAAACATGCTGGATAGCAGCTCTGCAGGACCAGGAGTGAGTACCACTGTCATAAGGTGACAGAGCCCTGAAACTGCTAATTCTGGATGGTACTGAAATGATCAAGAATACAACTGCTGAAATCATTTCATGCGAGAGGGATTTAGTGCAAAAAATGTAAAATAAATAAACTTTAAATAAATAATAACATATTCTCTTTTACTCCTCCTTGAACCATCACCTTATCGTGGTGGAGGAGTTTGAGTGCCCTAATGATCCTAGGAGCTATGTTGTCTGGGGCACTTAGTGCCCCTCGTAGGGTCTCCCATGACAAATTGGTCTTAGGTGAAGGGTGAGACAAAGAACGGTTCGAAGGATCTTTCATGGCGGTTAAAACGAAGAGTCGGAGTACCCGGCCCGGAGGGTTACCGGGGTCCCACCCTGGAGCCAGGCCTGGGGTTGGGGCCCGTGAGCGAGCGCCTGGTGGTCGGGCTTTCGCCCATGGGGCCCGGCCGGGCCCAGCCCGAACCGGATACATGGGCTCGTCCAACTGTGGACCCACCACCCGCAGGAGGAACATGAAGGGTCCGGTGCAATGCGAATCGGGTGGCAGACCAAGGCGGGAGCCTTGGCGGTCCAATCCCCGGACAAGAAAACTAGTTTTTGGGACATGGAACGTCACCTCGCTGGCGGGGAAGGAGCCGGAGCTTGTGGCAGAGGTTGAGCGGTACCGGCTAGATATAGTCGGACTCACCTCGACACATTGCATTGGCTCTGGAACCCGAGACCTGGAGAGGGGTTGGACACTCTACTTTGCTGGAGTTGCTCCGGGTGAGAGGCGGAGGGCTGGGGTTGGCTTTTTGTTAGCCCCGAGACTCTCTGCCTGTGTGTTGGAGTTTACCCCGGGGGACAAGAGGGTAGCTTCCTTGCGCCTTCGGGTCGGGGAACGGGTCCTGACTGTTGTTTGTGCTTATGGGCCAAATATCAGTTCAGAGTACCCACCCTTTTTGGAGTCCCTGGGACGAGTGCTAGATAGTGCTCCATCAGGGGACTCCATTGTCCTGCTGGGGGACTTCAATGCTCACGTGGGCAATGACAGCTTGACCTGGAGGGGTGTGATTGGGAGGAACGGCCCACCTAATCAGAACTCGAGCGGTGTTTTGTTATTGGACTTCTGTGCAAGCCGCAGTTTGGCCATAACGAACACCATGTTCGAACATAAGGATGCCCACCGGTACACTTGGTACCAGGGCAGCCTAGGTCACAGGTCGATGATAGATTTTGTAGTCGTATCATCTGACCTGCGGCCGTATGTTTTGGACACCCGAGTGAAGAGAGGGGCGGAGCTGTCAACTGCTCACCACCTGGTGGTGAGTTGGATCAGATGGCAAGGGAACATGCCGTGTAGACCTGGCAGACTCAAACGCATAGTGAGGGTCTGCTGGGAACGCCTGGCAGAAGAACCTGTCAAGACGGTCTTCAACTCCCACCTCCGGCAGAGCTTTGACCACGTCCCGAGAGCAGTGGGGGACATTGAGTCCGAGTGGGCCTTGTTCCACTCTGCGATTGTCGAGGCGGCTGTTGCTAGCTGTGGTTGTAAGGTGGCCGGTGCCAGTCGTGGTGGCAACCCCCGTACCCGCTGGTGGACACCAGAGGTTCGGGGAGCCGTCAGGCTGAAGAAGGAGGCCTACAGGGCGTGGCTGGTCTGTGAGTCTCCGGAGGCAGCAGACAGGTACCGGATAGCCAAGCGGGGTGCAGCAGTGGCAGTTGCCGAGGCAAAATCTCGGGCGTGGGAGGAGTTTGGTGAGGCCATGGAGAAAGACTATCGATCGGCTCCAAAGAGGTTCTGGCAAACTGTCCGGCGCCTCAGGAGAGGAAGGCAGCAACTCGCTCACACTGTTTACAGTGGGGATGGGGAGCTGCTGACGTCAACTGAGGCTATAGTCGGACGGTGGAAGGAATACTTTGAGGAGCTCCTCAATCCCACCAATGCGCATTCCGAGGAGGAACCAGAGCTGGGAGGCCTGGGGATGGACTGTCCGATCTCGGGGGCAGAAGTTGCTGAGGTAGTCAAACAACTACACAGCGGCGGAGCCCCGGGGGCGGATGAGGTTCGTCCTGGGTATCTCAAGGCTATGGATGTTGTAGGGCTGTCATGGTTGACACGTCTCTACAACATTGCGTGGTCATCGGGGGCAGTTCCTAGGGAGTGGCAGACCGGGGTGGTGGTCCCCATCTTTAAGAAGGGTGACCTGAAGGTGTGTTCCAACTATAGGGGGATCACACTCCTCAGCCTCCCTGGAAAGGTCTACTCCAAGGTACTGGAGAGGAGGGTCCGATCGATAGTTGAATCTCAGATAGAGGAGGAGCAATGTGGTTTTCGTCCTGGCCGTGGAACTGTGGACCAGCTCTATACCCTTGCAAGGGTGATGGAGGGGGCATGGGAGTTTGCCCAACCAATTCACATGTGCTTTGTGGATTTGGAGAAGGCTTATGACCGTGTCCCCAGGGGCACCCTGTGGGGGACGCTCCAGGAGTATGGGGTGGGTGGCTTTCTGTTAAGGGCCATTCAGTCCCTTTACCAGAGGAGCGTGAGTTTGGTCCGCATAGCCGGTAGTAAGTCGGACCTGTTCCCAGTGAGGGTTGGACTCCGCCAGGGCTGCCCTTTGTCACCGATTCTGTTCATCACTTTTATGGACAGAATTTCTAGACGCAGCCGTGGTGTGGAGTGTGTCGAGTTTGGTGGCAGGAGAATCTCGTCTCTGCTTTTTGCGGATGATGTGGTCCTCCTAGCTTCATCCAGCTCTGACCTTCAGCTCTTGCTGGGTAGGTTCGCGGCCGAATGTGAAGCGGCTGGGATGAGGATCAGCACCTCCAAATCTGAGACCATGGTTCTCGACCGGAAAAGGGTGGCTTGCCACCTCCGGGTCGGGGGAGAGGTCCTACCTCAAGTGGAGGAGTTTAAGTATCTCGGGGTCTTGTTCACGAGTGAGGGTAGGAGGGATCGGGAGATCGACAGGCGGATTGGTTCGGCGTCTGCAGTGATGCGGACGCTGAGCCGATCTGTCGTGGGGAAGAGGGAGCTGAGCCAGAAAGCCAGGCTCTCGATTTACCGGTCGATCTACGTCCCAATCCTCACCTATGGTCATGAGCTTTGGGTAATGACCGAAAGAACGAGATCGCGGATACAAGCGGCCGAAATGAGTTTCCTCCGTAGGGTGGCCGGGCTCAGCCTTAGAGATAGGGTGAGGAGCTCGGACATTCGGGAGGGACTCGGAGTAGAACCGTTGCTCCTCCGGATCGAAAGGAGCCAGTTGAGGTGGTTTGGGCATCTGGTCAGGATGCCTCCTGGACGCCTCCCCGGGGAGGTGTTTCGGGCATGTCCTGCCGGCAGAAGGCCCCCGGGTCGACCCAGGACACGTTGGAGAGGTTACATCTCCAATCTGGTCCGGGAACGCCTTGGGGTCCTGCCGGAGGAGCTGGTGGACAAGGCCGGGGAGAGGACGGCCTGGAGCTCACTAGTTGGGATGCTGCCCCCGCGACCCGGACCCGGATAAGCGGAGGAAGACGAAGACGAAGACGATATTCTCTTTAACTTATTAACTGCATCCTGTTTATTTTTACTTCTGGAAACATTTGTCTTCAAAGACGAATCATCTGACCTTTTCTCATTGCCGTAGGACTTCTGGGCCACCTTGGCGTGCAGCATGGTGATGTTCTGGTCAGCGTGAGCTTCACGTTTTAATTCCCTTGTTGCTCCCTGAAGCTGATAGTGTTGTAACCCAGGATCGAGTCTCCTAATTGGATGAGAACGCCGTCAGTCACAGAGAAGCTGAGAAATGATGGATCTCATTAGGTTGGTTAGATATGAATTGTGATGTTGCAGAGTCAGAGTCACGTGCTGGTAAGAAACAGAAACGCTGTGTTAAGAAGACCCGTAGTGTCATTATGATCTCTGCTGAGACGACGAACGGAGCAGCCAGAGCATGAAGTCTGGGATTTTACCCTTAATAAAGAGAGAATGATAAATGACCTGCACTTGTAGTGCCGCTCAGAGTAAGGACTCCAAAGCGCTTTACACTACAGTGTATGATTCATCCATTCACACACACATTCACACACTGATGGTGATGAGCTACGATGTAGCCACAGCTGCCCTGGGGCACACTGACGCGAGGCTGCTGAGCACAGGCGCCACCGGTCCCTCCGGCCACCACCAGCAGGCAAGGTGGGTTAAGTGTCTTGCCCAAGGACACAACAGCAGAATTCTCTGTCCGGAGCCGGGATCGAACCTGCAACCTTCCGATTACTGGACAACCCGCTCAACCTGTTGAGTTACTGCTGCCCCAAGAGACGAGGAAGGCCAAAGAAATGAACCAGTGCAGCTCTGGTTTACTGTTGTGAAGGCAGAATGTGTTGGACTACCACCAGCAGGCAAGGCGGGTTAAGTGTATTGCCCAAGGACATAGCAGCAGCATTCTCTGGTCAGAGCCGGGATCCAACCTGCATCCTTCCTAACCTGCTCAGGTCCTGAGCTGTCCCAAAGTAAGTGGGTGGATAGAAGAAAGGTTTGTGTGTTACGAGGCTCAGACCCAGAGGGACTCGTTCCTCTGATTTCTGACTAGAAAAAGATCAGGTTAAGTTTTCTGTATTTATCTTGCTTACAGTCTGAATGTGGCCCATCGATCGTTTGACTCAGAGTTTCAAGCTTCTGTTTTTACAGAAGTGAGAGCTGAGCTTTAGGAGGATCTAATAGGTTTGGTGCTGATGAAAATACAAACTTGCATTTGTTTAATTTTCCAGTGAATGTGAGTTTTAGCCACTCTGAGCTGTAAACACGTGTTCTAGAGGGTCACATTGACATCTTTAAACTTGAATAGTTTTATGTTTGTGTTTGACTCTGTGGTTAGTCACCAAGGTGACATCAGCAGCCAGGGTCAGACCTTCTGTTCAAAGGTCAAAGGGCAGCGAGCCCTGACCTTTGGTATTTCACACTGGGAACTCTGAATGGACTGAGAGCAGCAGGATGAGGAGGAGGGAGGAGAATGCACTTTCACCATAAGGAAAGTCAATTTCCTGGTCCACAGATGGTTCTGGAGCTAACAGAACTCATCAAAGCAAGGTCTTAATAAAGAAACGGTTCCAGTTCACCTGAAAGTTATTTAGTAACTCAGTAAGACCGACGCGGTTTTTAGTCATTTGTAAAAAAAGCATCCACTCATCACGCAGATCCTTATTTCTGTGCTGATGTATCCTGCTGCTACTGAATAGATTTATAATAACTTTAAGTATTTCTGCAAACTGATCAATGTGGAAAAAAATACAACAGGTCCTCCATAAAGTCAGGATTAAACAGAATTCCCCGAGCCTCGGCGCTCTCCACTTCTCCTGACGTCTCCCCCAGCTCTCCTGATGGTCAGACTCCAGTAGGAGGGGGTGCGGTCTCCCCCTCCCCTAATAAATCTTCTCGTGCCACGCTAATACCTCCACACAGTCCCTCCACCTCCACGTTCCACCCGTGCGTAAAACAGAAGTTAGGCTCGGAGCGCATTTCACGTCCAGGCGCTCATTCTCACAAGACTCCGAGGGTTCGGGACACGACAACACGTGACCTCACCTCTTCTAACCGGGAGCCGAGTCTGAGTCAGAACCTCAGCCTTACCTGTCCCATCCGTCGGTGGCCCTCGGTGCGTCGTGTCCGGGCTGCAGCGTTCCCAGGTGAGTGAGCGGGGTCGTGGGGGACAGAGGGAAGAGGTGAGGGAAACCTGGCTCTGATGCTGGTGTTTCTGACAGAATGAGACAAATGAGACTCTTTGGAAATTGGCTGATGCTCATTATCCCAACATGCATGGACCAGGCTCGAGACTCATGATACGGAAATACGTCACATGCTTTAACACCGTTTGGTTGAGATGGACAACAAATGTGCAGTTGTGCACGTGTGGCTTTTGATCTTTGATGGATTAGAGGGTCCAAACCCAAACACGCAGGCAGATTCAATTTAAGGTTTTAAAGGAAGATAATTAAAACATCTAATAAACACCTGTGCCGGTAGGAAGGTGTGAGCGGCAGCAGTGAGAATAAGATGGAGATGAAAACTGGAAAACCTAAAAGGAAAAATGAATCACTGATGACAAAGAGAATTATTTAATCTGTGTGAGGCTCATTTTAAACCAAAACATAATCCAACTGAGAGATCTAAGAGAGAAAACCTGTTAGGAGGCTAAAACGGTGAGATCCACGTTTTAAGAGAATGAAACCAGATAAAGAAGTTTCCACTCTTAAATATGTAAATCTAGATGAATGAAGCTGAGTGAGTAAAGCTCTAGGTTCACACGGCTGCCTGGAGGTGATGCTGCACAAGCATCAGCCTGCCTGGGCTCAGAGTCATGGTCATGAAGAGAAAGAGCTAGTTGGTCTGTGGATAAACACCCACATCACATGGTCAAAGAAACCTGGGACCTGAGGTGTTTGTTCAAGCTGCCTTTCATTAGATCCAGCTGTTAAAGAGACTTTTTACACTGACATCAGTCAGTGACTTGATACAATTTGCTGGGTTCCTTATATAGGAAACTTTATTCTGATTGGCTTATTGAACTGACCTGTATTGGAATGTTAACTATGTGAAGTGCCTTGAGACGATTCTTGTAGTGATTTGGCGCTATACAAATAAATTTGAATTGAATTGAAATTTTTAATGTCCAGCCATAGTGGTGGATGCGAAGGTTTTTGGAAGCCCTTCATGAATGAGTTTTCATTTATTACAACAACCTGTGATGGGTTTAAACCGTATGTACAGTCTGTGGTTTAAACTAGAAATGCACCACTATGGAAATATGGGCTATTATCGATATCTGATCTCAATATCACTCTAATATCCGATAACCAACAATAAAGCTGTTATAGTGAATCTACAGAATAAGCTAGGTTTTTAACGCAAACGCAATCACAGACCCCTCCCCTCAGTTGTCTTCCCTGAGACGCTTCTGCTGGAGCCAGGAACCTGCCATGCCGGACGAAACGAGATAGCGCTAAACACCAGTCACAGTTTTCTAGGTCCAAACGTCTTTTTTTGTCCATGACTTCAAATGGTGTTTTTTTCTTTTTGGGACTCTAGTAGTTTGTCCTAAAGTTGAAGTGGTAGCAGCTGTTTCTCCTTCTCGGATGTGACTGAGCGAAGAACATCTCACACCAGTGGTGTTCTGCTGCTGAATACGTGTGTGTGATGAGTGGAGGACCCAGGGAAGTGTGATGGTTTGGTGAGACCAACAACCAGATGGTCCAATGTTTACTTTGGGTCTGAAACCTATAGGTGGAGGTTCACGACATATGACAACTAGATAGAAAAATATCAGTCGTTAATGTCAGCTTAGTTTTATTAATCGGACCGATAAGGTATATTAAAAATGGCTGACATCGGCCAGTCCCAACATAGATGCCGATGTGCCGTGGTTCTCTAGTTTAAACACTATTTGAATGCAGAAAAGTGGCTTCTGAACTCAAAGACCAGTGTTTGTTATGAAGTAGAGCTGAAGACAAAGCCGTTAGTATGGAAGTAAACATGAAAAAGGTTCGTTTTAACTATAATTTCAATTTGTTTATCAGCTGGAGCGAACAAAGGCTCGCACTAAACAGCTCGTGGAGAGATTTTGAAAGAGTGAAGTGAAAAAAAGGCAGAAGTTACACATTTTTTGTTTTTCTCGACAAAGACAGAGAAGCTCAGCCTTAATCCAGGCCTGCATTCCACTGAGATTAAACCCTTGGAATATCGTAATTTTCAGAGATATGATTTTAATGAGTTGCCATGTTGTTGATTCAAATCATAATAATTTATAATATAATCCTAATGAACCATAATACTTATGTCTATAGTTAGACGTTTAGCTGCGGTACAAAGACAGCCTCGGGTTGAAGTACAGTAAGTCTGCTGAACAGGAAGTAGTTGAGTGAAGCAGGCAGGTGGGCAGGTAGACCTCCAGTAAAACAGGAAGCCAGTCAGGGAAACTGCTAACAGTAGCAGAGTCAACATCTGTTTCTAATCTAAAGCCACTAACAAGAAAAGCTGTGTCTTCGTCTCAGCTTGGGCTCCAGCTGTCACTCAGGTCCTGGATCACTAAAGGATGGTCATCTCAGCCTCTCACCATACACACTCATCCTCTCATGCCTGCTCATGAGTCACAACATGTGGTCCACGTTTCAGTTTTAATATCAGCACCAATCCAGTCAGTTGAGAAAATGTGTGTGCCTTCAGACTACATGTGTCTGTTAGGGCTTTCTTTAAATGCCCTTCTGACCTTTTTTTAATTTCCTCTCAGCTTTAGAATCTGATCATCTTACCTGACATTCAGAAGGTAAACAAGGGAAAGCCAGGGATTACAGACATCAGTCCAAAGCCACAGATTAAAGTCATGTTTGTCTTAGATTACAGGACAAAAAGATGCACCGTGCCTACAGTCTGGGACAGCACCGAGGCTCTGTCTAACTCCTGGTAACTTGGCCAAACGTGTTTTCCATGGATGAAGGAACTCTATAAGGGTTATTATTCTGTTCCTCACACTTTATCACCTGTTGTCACCATGGATACAGCCAGGTGGGGCCCTTCTCAACATACCTGGTCCACTCAGGTCACCATTTTAGACTAAAACCACACAGGTCATCTAAACCCCCCCCCCCCCCCCCCCCCCCCACACACACACACACACAAATGACTGAAACCAGAAAGGTCAGGGAGCAACAACATCATTCACAATCTGGCTGCCAACTCCTCCCTTCTCGGTCTCACGTTTCTCTCCCTGACTCATGGAAACTTTACCGATGAGTAGGAATAAAATGTATTTATTTATTTATATTTATTTATTTAGCAGACGCTTTTATCCAAAGCGACTTAAGCCTGATTCATGCTTCTCCGTCAGCTCCGCAAGGGACAGACACGCACGGATTGACGGAAGCGTTTTGCTCTCATACTTCTCTGTCTCCTGGAGAGTGTTGCAAAGCAATTGCCCGGCAGGACAACAGAGGGCGTAGCGCTGTTCTGTGGTATCCTGTCGTGTATCCGGTCCAAGATAGTGCGTTTATATTGTGTTTTTTTGTATAT